GTTTTGTTTAGTAAGAACTAAATAAATAGATTACTGCAAATAGTTTACATTAATAACTAACGTCTTTTATTTATAATGGCTACTGAATACACAATTATGAGAAAAATAATAATGATAAAGAAATAATAACTAATTAGATAATGACAAATTTTATCCCTAATAACAAAATAAAGTAAAATGTGTAAAATTATTTTATTAATATTTACTGCAGAGGACATAAATGTTACAAAATAGGAATTTTTTGCATACGCTAACAAATTTTTAAATGCGATCTAATATACAACTATTACAACATTCAAAAAAAAAGCTTTTTTGTTAGTATCCAAAAGATATCAAATGTTCATTTGGGCTAGGTGCTAAAAAAAGGGATAAATCAACAATTTTTTAAATTTAAAAATTAGCTCAGTAACATTTTCCACTAAGGAATAAATGCTGCTGTTATAATAAAGTTCTGCTAAATTTTGTAATTTCTTATGTCCTAATATAAGGATTAATAATTTGCCATTTTGACATTATCCTAAATTTATCTAATTTCCATGGCTCATTGCATTAACGTAATGCTTTTTTTTTGTCTATGTTTAGAAGTAACTATAAGATATTTTTACTATAATCATTGTCTTTGGAAAATTTGTGATTATCAGTTATCATAGTCGGTAAAAAAAAAAGCCAAAAAGACAAAAAATTAGGAATGTATTTTTTAATGTATGTTGAAGACTAGTAAATGAAATTTTATTATAATCTCGACATTGCATTCGAATTTTATATTAAAAAATCACACATAGAAATTTTGGTCGTAACACATACACGATAAAATGCTATTATGTAATCTAAAATACGCATATTCATATATGGCAAATTACCAAAATTTTTAATCATGTTTGTCTTACAAACATAATGTTGTATTCTATTTATGCTGTCGGCAAAATGTAAATTCGGCTTTCAACTTCGTGCATCTTAGAAAAATGGGCCAAACAAATCCATCTGAACTTTATAAGCTCGGATATAATTATCATCATGGAATTGGGGTTGAAAAGGATGAACATAAGGCATTCATTAATTATCGAAAATCTGCAGAGATGGGACACGCTGGTGGAACAAGTCAAGTTGGATATTGTTATGATGAAGGAATTGGAGTTGAAAAGGATGAACATAAGGCTTTCATTTATTATCAAAAATCTGCAGAGATGAAATACTCTGGTGGAATATATCATGTTGGATATTGTTATCAAAATGGAATTGGAGTTGAGAAGGATGAGCATAGGGCATTCAGTTATTATCAAAAATCTGCGGAAATGGGGCAGGCTGGTGGAACAAGTCAAGTTGGATATTGTTATCAATTTGGAATTGGAGTTGAAAAAGATGAACATAAGGCATTTATTTATTATTAAAAATCTGCAGAAATGGGGCACGCTAATGGAACAAATGGCGTTGGGTATTGTTATCGACATGGAATTGGAGTAGAAAAAGATGAACATAAGGCATTCATTTATTATCAAAAAACTTCTGATATAGGAAGTGAGCTGGGAACATGCAGTCTTGGAGAATGTTATCAATATGGAAGAGGGGTTGAAATAAATTTGAAAAAGGCCTTCGAATTGTATTTAAAATCAGCTGAGATGGGTCACGTCAAATTCACAGGTTGTTATCGAAACGGAATCGGAATAAAAAAAGACCTAAAAGAAGCCGAATATTGGTTTAAAATGTAAGTTTTTTTCTTTATTCCTAAATATAAACTATATCAATAATATTAATAACATGAAGATAGGGAAAGAAGCAAATTTCAAGGTATTAGAATTATTTTTTAGTCTATTTTTTATTTATTTTTATATTTAATAGTTTTAACTTAATTAAACAGAAATAGAGAAATTTTCTTATTCCGGTATCGATGACAATGCTAAAAGATTATTAGATGATGAGAAGTATCAATTATTATGGATTCCATATGATAAACTTGAAAATATTAAAGAAATTAGAAAAGGAGGATTCGCAACTGTTTATCACGCTAATTGTCGAATTGTTTATAAGAATGGTAGCGGTAAACATTCATTCGCACTTAAAATAATTAATGATCAAGGCTTTTTTGATGAGGTATTGTAAAATTTATCGAGTTTTGTTTATATTGAATTCATAATTAATATATTTTTATTAAAGTTGAAAGCGTTTTGCGAGATCCGATATAAAAACCCATCATTTTTAAAATGCTACGGATTATCAAGAGATTATTTAGGAAATTATATTCTTATTTTGGAATATGCGGAAAAAGGTTCTTTACGTGATAATACTCACGAAGTATCACAAATGAAATGGGAAAAAAAATTAAATTTATTAAGTTGTATTACATCTGATCTCGAAGCAATTCATTCACAAGGACTGGAACATCGAGATCTTCATAGCGGAAATATTCTGCAAAATGATTTAGATAACGCATATATCACGGATCTAGGACTTTCTAATACAAAAAAAGGAGTTTATGGAGTTTTAACTTATGTAGCTCCTGAGATATTACAAGGAAAATCATATACTCAAACAGCTGATATTTATGCATTGGGTATTATCATGACGGAAATATCGACTGGAAAAAGAGCTTTTGATGGCTATAATTTTGATGATGAACTTGCAATAAAAATTTGCAACGGTATACGACCTGAATTATTTAACGGAACTCCTGAATGTTATGTTAAATTAGCAAAACGATGTATGGATTCAAACTCGAAAAAACGACCAACCATCAGATGTGTTAACGCTTTGATTACCGTATGGATCGAAGAAGTAGAAAGTACTGATGATGAAAATGAAATTAAAAACCAATTTTTAGACGCAGATAACAAAAAGTTTAATTCTGAACCATCAAAGCATCCAGATTCTATATACAGTAGCAAGCTTATCAATACGCAAAAGATATCAAAAGCGTTAACAAGTGTGTCAGCAGTGAGTAATCCTGTCAATTTTGTCGAATTCTCTTGATAATAACCTTGTTGGATTTGAATTCTCAAGAAAAGAAATCTTGAACTTTCAAAAGCTGGTGTGTATGATGAGTGGTTTACTTGTATTCGAATTTATCAGATTTGAAAAAGTCGTTTGATATTATTGATTAAATCTGTTAGTTAATAAGAATTTTAAAAGTTAAATTATCTTTTCAGCTTTTTATAAGATCATTTTTTTGGAGGTTCAGCAATACATCTAAATATGTATTATATAATATTAAGGGAATTTACATATAATGGCCCGAAAAATGAAAATAATTATATTCAAGGGCCCAAAGTGAAAATAATTACATATAAGGGCAAAAATTTTGAAAAAATATTATAATCAAGGGTCCAAATTTTTTGTATATAAGATTATATAAATGTAATTTCCTTTTGACATTTAAATTTTTACTTTTTAAATCAGCATTGCATTTATTTTCTTAGCACCTTTCATGTAAAATTATGACCACTTTGTCGATTTTTAATGTAATTTAACTTTCTCTACGAATAAAAATGAGCTCCTTCAGTTCTACAGTAAATATCTTTGATTAATGCATAGCAACCTTTACAAAATATTGATTTACTAGTTTAGAACCGAACAGACAATACAATATCAATATATATCATATTTAATTGTTTATTAGTTAAAAGAAAGTCCGTTAAGCGAAATTGAAGTGTAAAATGTATAAATCAATACATATATACAGTTATAACGTTCGAAGACCCACTATTATCACAATGCAAAGTCTTTAATTGTAAAATTTTGGGCCCTTATATGTAATTATTTTTATTTTCATTTTCGGGCCATTATATGTAAACTCCCCTAATATTAATCCTGTAACACTATTAATGCTTTTGATATTAATTTTAGCATCAATATTTCAGCAATAAATTGATCAGTTTATAGATTTTTGATATAACCTTGATTAGTTAAATCGCATAATAGAATTATAAATCTTACTGAATATACATTATTTTTTACTGCAGATGTTTTACGCTAATAACTAATCTGTTTATTTATACTGAGTGTTGTAATATGTATATGTTGAGCTTTTTATCAGTAAAAATAAAATTACCGAAAACTTGGAAAATATGCACTCACGGTAAATCAGCACCCTCATAATAAAATTTATGTCCTATAAAAACTTGAGCTTATTTTAAATGTAGTTCATATTGATTGACAATTTTATAACATACCTTGCAAGTTAAAATATACAGAAACTAAATTTTACTTTTTAAGTACCCTCCCGACATCTCATTTTGAGTATATCAAAAAAAAACAAAAAATTTTTTATTATTTTTAAGATCCATTTTATTTTTAAAGATTTTGATTTGTTGGGATCTTTTCTTTATCGAGCCTCGTCAGAACCTTCTCTTCGTCGAGATTATGAACTTTGTAATAATGACTGTTGAGATTTCGGATATCTGGATTTTAGATTAGTGAAATATGAATACTATTAAGCAAAAGTTTGTAAATACTTATTTCAAATTTTTAGCGCTTCGACTTACTTTCATAGTATCTAATTTATATGCGATATGAGCGCTACCAACTTTGAATCTGGCCAGCGAATGTTTAAGCTTTCATTATCAGTACTTGAATTAATTGGAAGAATTGTAATTTTACGTAATTACGATCAATTTTTAATCGTTTTATCGATCAAGAATACTTTATGATTTATACCACTTATTGTGCTCCCAAAATGACCAAAACACGAATAAAAAAATTAAATTTATAAGATTAACTTTCACAGGTAAAATCCTGATTCAATGAAAACTTGAAATTTTCACTTATAGGCTTATTTGTTATACATGTATAAAATTAAATTAATTAATCTTTTAGCATTCGATTAAAAGTCTAGGCAATCAAAAACAGACCATATTACTTTAACTTTATTTATGCGTTAATAAGTAATTAAATGAGATTTAATCGAATTTATAAAAATTTTCATTATTTTTAAACGATATAATATACCCATTTTATTATATAATATATAAAGGAAATTAAACAAAGCCAAATAGATAAAATAAGAAAGTATGTCAAAAGATAAAATAAGTTCATATTTATTAAGTGATTTAAACGTTCCGAGCGTTCCATGTGATTTATGTGGCTCAAGAGCAAATGCAGCTTTGATATTTGCACCGGTTCCCCAAGTAGACCAGTTATACGATAAAAGTTTTTTAGAGCGACGCGAGTATGGAAAATCTCTTTTAATCTTGTTGCGTCACAATTTTCGTATAAATTTAATACCATTAATGTATTATTTATATAAAGAGA